GGCCCCGGCCTTCCGCGCCGTCGGGGGTGGGGGGGCCCCGCTACACCAAAGCCCTGGGGCTCCTGCGCGGTGCTGCCGCCATGGCCGGGCACCTCCAGAGGGAGGGGAGGCTCGCCCAGCCTGGCGGCCACCTCAGCTCCTACCTGCCCCTGCACTGAGCCGGAAGGCGGAGCAGCGCCGTGGCTCCGTGCCGCCCTGCGCTGCGGCCCCGCGGGCAGCCCCAGGGGGCTTCCCGCAGCTCCCAGGACAGCTCTGGGCGAGCCCTGCGCGGATACGGCCCTGCTACACGTGCATCTCCACGCACGCAGATGCGGGTCAGGCACAGTTGGCTGTAAATCAACTAAGGGAGCTTGAGGCCTGTCCTGGGACCTGGTTTCCCACTCCCTCCCGCTGAGGGGAGGCTGCTCTTGGAGCTGGGACACCCCGCGGCACGGAGCGGGTGTTTGAGCTCTCATAGAGGAACAGGAGTCGGATGCTAACGTTTTACCCAAGCTGATTTCCAACACTTCAAGCTTGCTCTCAAGAGTGAAGTAATCATGGGGTACCGCAACAACTCCTCTGTTACTGACATGAACCAAACCAAATCCAGCCTCAGCTGAATCCAAACCTGCTCCAAAACCAGAAATAACATCCCAGTCAGATTCCAATGAATCTTTGGACCTAAGGAATCTTCATCTGATCCAGTTTAGCTCAGAATTTACTGAACTTCTATGTGCAGCTGCTTTATGATACTCACGTAAAACCCAAAATATGTGACACATTTATTCTTAATCTAAAGCTGCATCCATTTTTTTTTGATTGTAAACAAATATCCAGTACTCCACATCCTCTTTAAAAAAGTCTGCTTAAATCCAGGCAAAAGGAATACATGCTACACTCACTCCAGAAGGGTGGTAACATTATTTATTGTTACATTAGTTTACATATACAGTGATGACATTTGGCTAGAAAAATGCCTGTATTGTAGTAAGAGATACTCAAACATCTACAAACTATCAATAAATACATTAAAAACATACTGTATGCTGATGTAGAAATACCCTATGCTCTTTTGGTTACTTACTCAGTACAATATTATTGAAAAGTTTTTTGGTGTTTTTCATGCAACATCAAAATTGTTCCTGACAATTCATGCTATATGACCTTGTTTTCTTTAGTAGGAATGGGATGAAATTTAAAATCCTGTTTACAAGTAGTAAAAATTGCTGAAAATTTTAACATAAATCTCTCAATTGCTGTAATAAAAAGAACCAATTTAAAGGTTGTCTTTTAAAAAATTAATGTACGCAACTAATTCTTTATAAAACAGGCAGTATTTCAAAAGAGATGTTTCCATCACCCAGGATGAATCATTTGTGCTTCAAAATTTTAAAAGGAATATTCGTGGCAAAAACCTAAACCCAACTGGTAGGTAGCGAAGAGATTGCAGTACGGACTGGCTGAAAGTGAACATGCTTTCCAAATCTGTCCAGGAACACACTAAACACTTATTCACATCACTCTGCCATCACCTACTCTAACAATCAGAAATGGAGTTTTAATAATACTTAGCTCTTTTCATGCTCAAAATTCTTCACACAAATTTAAATAGTCCTAACGCTTCTGCAAGTATTATTATCCCCATTTTACACTTGAGGTGGTGGAGGCGGAAAGAGCTGGGAATTTGCCAGGATACAGACCACATCCTTTCCCTCTTGCCTCCCTCGATCCTCCAAGTTCTTTATCACTTTCTGTATTTTACACTCAACATACTGCAGAGTCCCAGGAAACATGGGTGGTATGTTTCCGTCAGTTTTCAGTGGTTATTATGCAAGTTGCATGACAAATATTAAAGTAATAATTGACATGAAGTCCATGTCCAAGGCTCGGGATTGATGTCCTAGAATGCCACACCATTTTCAAACCAAGCTTGCTCTTTCTGTAGCAAAGTGTTAGGGACAGGAGGCCTAATTCTTTCTGTTGTACAGCCAAAATGACTCAAAGTCAGTCATGGCCATACAAAAGCATGAAATCTGGCCCTCACCACCTGTCCCTGGGAACAGAAAGCCCCTACAGTGGCCCAGTATGTCCTGACATTGTACAACAAAAAGGACATCTAGATCAAAACAAAGATTTCAGGTGTGCTAACTCGCCATAAGGTACAGATAACTAAGGTCTCTTCCCTCCCATCCCTAAATTTGAAAATATTTCTGTCTGAATTATGTCCTATAAACCCTGTGAGAAAGTAAATGCCTAGCAATGAGACTGCAGATACAAAGTACGGTATTTAGCTTTTATCTTAGTATCAATCCCCAAGTCATATTATTTCAGTTGATATCAACATCCTGCACAGAATGGGCATTTTTGATTTTGCCACATCTGTCCTCTTGAATCTTCTATTTTATGCCTTGCAGTCTGTGCCCTATTTTGATTTTTATCCTGCCTAGCTTATTCTTAGTCTAAACCCAGCCTGGTTTCTTGCTGTCTCCTGACAAGCTCTGGGTTTGCTCTGCCAGTGGACTGCAGGAGCAGTGGATAACATTGCAGTTGTTTCACTACCTCATCAGTGAGAGATGAGAGACATGCGAAGTTCTGTCACTTGTAATAACAAAATGACTGAGTGTGCAAAATTACATCTCTCTTACAGGCACCCAAAAGGCTTTAAAAAGGCACGTGTACTCTTTGTCACTTGTTCCTCAGTGCCTGATCTTGGTGGGTTTAGTGTGTCTCCAATAAACCCCATACAAAGCACACGTTCCCTTGGAGGGAACTTGGAGTAAAAATTAAGATTTTTCAGACATATTTCAAAGTTAGTGGTTGTTCCTCAGCAGCTGTCTCACCTTTTAACAAATGCTAGAGCTTCATTACCTGTGAGAACTGGGTTCTTACGGCAACCTCACTCCCTAGTCCATTTTCCTCCTTCTTTCCCAAACATCCCCATTTCTAGCAGAGGGGAACGGTGCTTCTTACATGGGCTTCTCAAGCAGATATCCAAAGCTCTTCCTGCCTTCTGTAGAGCTGGTAGGCCAGAAAACATGTCTTTTGTGCAGATGTGGGAGCAAAATTACAGGAGTTTTGCCCCCCTTCTTCTAGCAGCACAGCCAAGAGCTGGCAGGCTGGCTGAGTACCCTGCTTCTGGCTATGTCCTGAGAGGTTAGAAGGACCTGCAGCTTCTTTTGACTGCAGATGGGGACTGTGGATGTTTACCACCAATAGAAATCAGTCCCAAGGCACTAGGCAGGACCAGAAAGGCCGTAACAAAGCTATTGTGACCTGGGGGTACTCTGTACAGCTGAAATACCAGGTTAGAAAAGTAAGAGGCATTGGCATCTTCCTCTGGGCTTTCTGGAAAAAACAATTAAAACAAAACAAAACATGCAAGATCCCAGGCAAATGTTTGCCCTGCCTGACTGAAGCCATTCTCCCTGCTTCAAAAATCCAGGAGATGGAGGGATCAAGATACATTGACTCAAATGTGCTAATGTTGAAATGTTTCAATTTCAGACAGGTGAAATGCACTTGCACACTTGCGTATGGCTTCAGTTCTGTGTGAGGGACGGGAGCCCACAGGCCCGCTTGGGCTCCAAGGGGGCTTTCTGGAGGAGTTTCATCTCCAAATGCCAGTCTGGTGATGGGAGCTAAGCATTCCCCCCAGCCTGGACTGAGCCAAGCCTGGATCGGATGCGTGTTCGCATCAAACTGGACTTCTAGCTGCCTTAAAAATGCAGTCTTGAAAAAAAGTTAAAAAAGGAAAGGCTGATGCTTTGGCAATTCATTATCTGTTATGCAGTCCAAAAGCCTCGAGACATTATCATTAGCTTGACTAGTGGCAATTCACTATTGCATGGCTGGCAGTCACTAGGAAAGCATTTCTTAATGATTAAAGCAGTCAATCGATCAGGCGCGCTTGTCACAATTCCTCCAGATCGGTTAAATCCACAACCACTTTCAAAAACAGAGTGTCATCTCTGATGTAGGTGTTCTTTGTGTTCTCCAGAACTGTGTGCGGCACAAAGCGTGGACATCCAGAGGCAATATTCATCTCTCCATCTGGCCTTTTGAAACTGCTGCTATTGGGATCAGCTCGAAAGACTTCCACAATGTGATTTTTTTTCCCACTTTGGTCCAAAAGCATAAGTGTAACTTTTTGCTTGAAAGGCCACAGTAGCAGCGAGTCAAACTCCCCTCTCATCACTACGAAGTAGAGAGAGACGTGTGTTCCCTTTCCTGAGCCATCCCCGTTCAGGTAGGCCCTCGCGCATAACCTGTACCCGCAGCGGCTGGTGTAAAAGGGTTGGCTGAATATGGAGAGGACACGGCCTTCCACCGCTTCTTTTTTCTTCATCTTGTAGTCCGTGATTTTCCAGATTAATTTCCCATTGTAGCATGTGCCTTCCAAAAGCTTAAATCGTTCTTCATTTTTATTGAGCTGTGCTTTGTGAATATTGATCTGGAGATCGTGTTTGCTGGACTGACCTTCCAAAACAACTGGGGGGCAGAAGAAAAAAAAGGAAGAGAAACATCTGGTAAAATGAATCTATCAGAGCACCAGATACAAAGAGCAACCAGACTTGAGCTGCCAATACTGAACTACTCAAGCCTGAGTACAGGCTGTTAGCTAGTGTTATGACATCTGTTAACTTCTTTTTATTGTAATTGCAGCTTGTAGTTGAATAAGGAAAGTCAGTAACTACAAACCAGATTTAATGCCTGCTTATGGAGAGTACCACTGCCTCCACCACAGTGTACCAGCCTGACCAAGGCCAGCTCTCTGGCCCTGCCATGCCACAGGAATTCTGGAGGCACTGTGGTGTAAGGGGCAGGCAGAGGACACAGCACACACCACCACAGGTCGGTCTTAGAAAGTGAGAAGAAGAAAGCTCTTTTTGGCAAAGTCCTGCAGTTGACTGTAGGACCAGAGCCTCTACCTAGCCACCAGTAAATCAGCGAAACCCCCACACCTGTGCAGAAAAGAACCGAAAGTCTCAATGTACCCAAGCGCTGATCGTAGGTCTCCATCAGGGCAATCTTCTGTTTCACATTTTCAATTGTGTCAAACAGGGGTCGCAAGTCTAATTTGTTTTGTTGCTGGTTTGCCATCTGTATTAGCTGTTTCACTTGTGACTCCAGGCGTGCAGACTTATCCAGGTGACTGGCCAGAGCCTTCCCAGTTCATGTCATTGGAAGAGGGTGGAAGCAGAGCCAAAAGACATTCATAAAATCAGCCATTTCATTTGGAATAAGATAAAGGAGCCTTTAGCATGTCAGCATTATCAACTATACGGTGCTTTCAAAAGTACTGGTCTGGTTTAGGAATGTATCCAAACGCTCATTTATTCAGCATTTAATGAATTTAATGCTCTAAATTCAGCATTTCTTGAGAAAGCACCCCTTACTCAGATCCATTTGCCTGCATCACTTTATTCAACTGATTATTCAAATTTACACCTGCTTATTTGCCATGGGAATCTGCTCAGGAGGATTTACATGGTGCTTTTGCCCAAATCAGATATCCAAACTTCCTTACTGTTTGAAATGAAAAGACAATACTGTACTATAAAAATAAAAAAAAAAAAAAAAAAAAAAAAAAGAAGTGTCTGGGAGATTTGCTATTGCCCTCCTATTGATGACAACTATTACTGGATAAACATATTTCAGGATGCAAGAAAGCAATTGGCAAAAAAGGCAAAAGCAATGTCTCACCTGTGTGCTTACCATCAAGTTGTTATTTTTACCAAACAACTGTGTAAACTGTCTGAATTCTTTCTCACACTTTTTAATGGCCTCTGCTAGCTGCTGAATTTTAATCTCTTTACATTCCAGGCTCTTATACAGGTCAGATATCTACAGTTGGAAAAAAGAGAGTAAAAAATGCTAAAAGCATATCAAAATATACAATGATGAAATGAAAACATTATGACTGTATAGGAGAAAGTGGAAGAGCTTACGATTCAATGCCTCTAACTTAGCTAGATATAGCACTACTTAATTCACAATTCACGGATAAGCACTGGCAAGAACTGAGCATAAGGTAATCATACTCTTGTGGCAACAGGTGTAAGAGACTCGTATCTCTCAACCCTACCATGATGATCCATTTGGCTCTATAGTGGGATAATACGTACCTACATGCACACACATGCATGTGTGTTTCTGTGTGTATGTATATAATTATTTTTTTTTCCCTCTGATGAGGCCTAACCAGTAAAAGAGATGAGTCCGTGAGGGATACTAACTCCAAAACCAAGTTGGAGCACTTTGGGGCACTTCTTTTTAGTGTAAACAAGCAAAAGAGTAAGTCAACCATCCGTTTGGATACCTTAACCTTAGCAGGACGGGGCATAGACCCAGTGTCATCTGCTGGGAGCCACAGAAATGATCGTGAGTGAAAAGTTGCTTGCAAATGGCTCTGTACTACCCGTGCCACCTTTACAGAGGGAAGTGACTTGGGCATCTAAAGGCTTCTTTCTGGAACAATCTGACTGGCCACTGAAACTTTAAAATGCTTTATCCCCAAACTCTCTATCCACTATAAGCAGAGACCAAAAGCAAATGAGGTGAGCGATGGCAACGAGCCTCCCACTGTGCCTGGTGGAGAACATACATGCCTGAGCACAGAGAGGTTTCCATCTAATTGACTGACTTCACTAGAAGAGCTTATTCTGACTTCTGAGGTGTGTAAAGATGATAAAAACAGTCTCTTAAAACATAGGTGAGCTAAACCAGGCAACACATGTAGAATCTCATATTATCCTCCAACCAGCCAAGAACCGCTGAAGAGCGCTTGTTAAATACAACGTACCTGTTCTTCCAATCGGGAGTTCTTGTCTAAAATCTGCAGCATGTGTTCCCTCAGGGCACCATTCTCATGTTCGGCAAGTTTCCCTCTTTTAACCTTAGTGAGGCAGAGGGGGAAGTGAAAGAATAAAATAGTAAGATACACAGATTTTTGAAGCTATTAGTAAAAAATTTATTGATGCAAGCAATTAAAATATCTCCTCTGTGCTATGAAAGTGAGGGAATGGCAGTCCTGACACTCTAGTATAGCATCTTAGCCAATACTAGAAATGGTTGTGAAAAAACAAGAATTGATTATTCTGATTATTTACTCCGATTGGTTTTGGAGACAAATTCCAGTCCCAGCACAAACAAGATCTATAAAACAGTACCTTTACAAGACAGCCGTACTGCTTATATGGGCAGTCCACTTCCGCCTCAGGACACACCGCGTGGTGCTTTTCAATCTGCATATATTAACAAAGAAACTTGTAATGAAATAAATATTAAGTAACTTGCCACACTGATAAAATCTGAATGCCTACATAAAGAGTGAATAAAGGCCAATGTCACGACACCACCGCTCATGTAAAGAGGAAAATGAGTATTCAGAGTCAATAAGCAAGCCAGATATTTTTCAATACTGCAAAATACCAATGGTTTGCAGTGACCAAATATCTCACTTGTAAGATGGGACATATATCCCTTTTAGGACCAAAGAAAATACTCGGAGCAATGAAGGTTTACTGCCATGGGCCAATGTGGTCTGCAACATAACTTTCAGTTTTCATAAACGTGTTTGATCTTCCGAATTACAGTATACGAAAAAACTGATAGTACCTCCTTTTTCAGAATTATTTGTGAACAGTTTTGGAGACAAGGCACAGGATAATCAGGACAGTCATTTTTCTCATGATTCTGGGGGAAAAAGAAATAAGGCAATGATTTGCATTTTTATAAAGTAGTATACAAATAGGAAGCTGTGAAAAAAGTAATCCCAAACATACGTGTGCAAGCCCCATATCACATTGTTGATCATAAGAGAGCAACAGTAATAGGTTTTATTTAAAGCGTATTTATTAATCTTTCTCATTCAGCTACTCAACTAAATTTTGTTTCAGGAGTTAAGCCCCACTGCAATGCTAGAAACTTTTTACTCAGCAACATTAAGAGGAAACATGTGCTATGGGATTCCCAGGAAATACTTTATAATCTTACCTTTATGTTAACTAACACCACATATTTACTACAATACTGACACATTTCTTCTCGAAATTTACAGTGCTGGCTCAAATGCTCTTTCAAATCTTTCCGAAGAATTTGATCACAACATCCATCATTAGTGCATTGCACGCTTTCAAACAAACACTGCTGAAGATGCTCCTGCAACATGCAACAGCAAATTAAACCCTAAAGTATTTCATTGCATCTGCAGGTACCCAACAGACCCAGAGAAACATTCGGCAGTTTGGCAACAAACAAAACTCCAAATACTCCTTCCTCCATAAACTTTCTCCTTTTCCAACCACAAAACTAAAGTGAATGTGAAAATTTGGACAGTCCATTGTATGACAAATACTTTTCATTCAATTGATATACTGAAAAAAGGCCCAAATGACCAGTACATCTTGGCAAATTTTCTTTAATCAATCACCACATGGCACCTAAGCATAGAGAAGATGTGTATAGACGCTGTGGATATACTAAAGCTACATAAAGCAAATGGTTCTTATTAAACAAATAACCTAAGGCAAAGCTGGAACAAGCCAACAGCCATAATATTTTGAGCTTAACATTTTTTACTTACAGTGAACAGCTAAGTCATAATCTTTGTACTTAAACCACATTGCTACAATAACTCTGAAGTCTGAAGACAATAACTGGAATTTAGCTTATAATAAATACACAGAGTGTGCATGAAAACTGAAGGCTTCAAAATTTGATCAAACTAACCTGATATCGTCCCAGAATTATTTTTGAACTGCAGTTGGGAATGTTTTTGCAGAACACATGCAAGTTGAGAACTTCTCTTTTACAGCAGTTATCTTTGAATACCTGTAAAGGAAGCAAATCAATCTTCATATGCAGTCACATAGGATCTTATAAAGAATATGGAAAAGCAAAACATCACACAAATCTTTTAAGCACACAAGTGTCAACTCTGTAATTGTGAGTACAGTTTTTGATAGCTCATACTGAAAATGTACGCTAAAAATAAAAATTAAAGCATATATGAATTTCCTAATAAGCATAGGGTTTTTTTCCCCATATAGTTTTTCCACAAATGATGTCCAGTCCACAGTCAGCAGGATTAGTAGCTTAGGAGCTACACAACCACTGCCAGAGCCTGCCTGTATCTAGAAGAAAGCAGCTGGAGCTAATGGGCCCCAAAGGCCAAACCAGCTCTGTGCACGCTCCTTTGATGTTCAAGCAGTGCAGCGTGCCTTTGGGATGGAGATGATGCTGAGATATCCCTTTTATAGACTCCGAGAAACAGCACTGTTCCTAGTTGTGTATGCAGAAGCAAATTAATTCCCCAGGGCAAACTTTCAGTCTTATTTAGAGATCCTCCTGTAATGAGCATTACAAAGCTGCTCACTGTTGCACTACTGCCATCAAATTTTGCACAAAGTATAAAACAGTGAATGAAAAACAAAAATCATGTGGACAATCTGATTACAATTTCCTATCAGGAAAAGGGGAGAGAGGAAGGAGGCATCTGATTTCACTGGAAAATGAATTCTGGCAGGACCGAGTATGTACCATACTTTCAAGCCTTGGCAGATAAATAAGGACAAATGAATCCATTACCAAAAAAATTAGAAAGTACTTTGCAAAATAAGAAGCATGAACTTATCTCTTCCTCTTAAAAGTAACCCAAAAGTAAATTAACTCTGCAGGGTTAATGACATATAGTGAAAACAGTTAAGTCAACAAATTATAATCAAGGGAAAACAAAGACAACCAAATAAACAAGATGATCCAGAAAGAGGGGGCATTAAAAAGGCAAGTCATTAACCTCTCCACTAAAAAAGACATCCAATGACTAGGTAAGATTTAAAACTGTGAAACTCTTCGACACTTTACTGGAAATACAGAAGACTAAAATGAAATAACTTCAGAACATGAGGTATAAAATAAAGCTTCAGCTAACACCCGTATTTCTTTTCTGGGAAAGGATCACTGAATACACCGCTTCCTTAGTATGATTTCAGACACAAAAACTGCTCTGCCCCTGAGGACCAGCAGACTAAGAGCCACCTTGTTCTCAGCTGTCTTTTCCATGCAGATGTTGATGGCTGAAATAAAACTACAGCCACTTACCTCGTGCATTTTTATTGTTTCTTTGTCGACAGGACAGGTGGGTACTGCATTCAACTCTCTAGATCAGAAGAAGAGTCATGTTAACCCACAGAAAATTTTACTCATTTTACGAAACTGGGCTATGCTAGACTCTGGCTCTGGCAGAAGTCAGTACTAGATACCATAAAGACCAAAAAAGTGCTTTGAAAACACTTTTGTCTGGCAACTACACAGACAAATTCTGCCCACAGCTCTAAGAGGGCATTAAGCTGCAACAGTGAATATGTAACAGAAAGCAGAGTTTGTCCTATGAGTGTCAATAAGATGGTTTTTAATTAAGAGGACTTTGTCACACTCTGGCCATCTGCTGCTCACAAATGTCATATCTGAAAAAATCCCATCGCATGCATTAAACCCAGCCTTTGCCTAGCACAAGCAGTGCCCTCTTTGCTACACCAGTAAAAGGAGATCTAATGGCTCCTGTCTTAAAAGGCTTCCAGAAATCCTACAGTAAGGGACAGGAGAACACTTACTGAGGCAGTGCAAAAGGGAGGCAACCCAGAGAGAGAAAGCGGCAAACATGAAGCATCTAAAATTCATAAAAAGTAAATGGTGACATCCATCCACATGAACCGGCTCCTCTGAAGCCTTCCTGGGCCAAGTCTTGCCCTCAGATACACCAACCAGTACGTACTGTATTCCTAGGCAGCTCTGAGGGGGAAACTCATTTGTACCTGCACATAAATCCCAAGCAGATGGATGGCAGCAGCCTTGTGATCTGACTGTAGTATGGGTTATTACTAACATCAGTTTTATAACTCAACTAAAATCAAAGAAGTCATACAGAAGCAAATGAAAACTGCTTCATCTAACCACCAGTGCCAAAACCATGAGACATTAATGCAACGAATTCATCTGAGCAGCACAATTCTAGACAGACAGACTGAAACAGCATCGCACACAGCAGTACTTAAGCTTACATCAACATTTTCTTTATGCTGACTTCCCTGCAGTTACCAAGGTATTCTTCACCAGCACTGGCTAAGGTCTTTAAAGACACCTTTAAAACACTGAGCACGCAGTCACTGAGCTCAACAGAGTCTTTCCATTAACTCCTTCAGCATTTTATCAGATTGGTACTATTATCATGGCCCTCACTGCTGATTTATAGAAGGCGTTGACTTCTGTTTAGGAAGGAGACCACAGGGATCTTGCAGATACAGGAGGAGTTTGCACTGACCTCAAAGAAAGAATGCACTGCTGGCAAAACCGATGCCCACATCCCGTCTGGTGGGGATTGCGAAGGACGAGGTGGCAGTAGGCGCACTTGTACCGGTCTTCTAAGGTTTCGACAAACTTGTAGTCAGCGTCAGGCTCAAAGTCCAGAGAGACAGCGCTGGCAGAGTTCTGGCGTGTGAAGATGCCTGAGAGAGCAGCAGGTTCGTCACAGGCCATGGGAGCTGCACCAGAAATCAGACACAGGGAGAATCCCTTCAAATATGCACCAGCAACCACGCTGCTCCAGCTACCGCTTTCAGGAGGCTGCCGTTCGCGGGAGGGTTGTCATCTGCAGCAGGGTGTGACAGATTTTGGAGGGAAATGTGGCACCAACTATGGAAGAACAACAAAACGCTCAGAGAACCACAAAACGATGGTTACATGACAAGCATCAAGCATACTTCTTTGGAAAAGAGTTTCACAATCTGAAAATTATTCTGCAAAATAAAGATTTTTATGGTTTTTTAAATTTTTTTGCAGCAGCTTTTAGTCTCAAAAAAATTACAAGAGTTACAGACACAGTTGCAGAAAGCAGAGGCCAAGCCTTGGCCCTAATATCTGCCAGGAAAATCTATACAATACAAAGCCCACCCACATGACTTCACAAGTTCACTGCACCGGTTCAGGCAGGAGACAACTTTGTGGTTCACAGCAAAGAACATATGAAAAAAAGGCAGCAAGGGGATTTTACCTTCAGTTTAGGTGTTACAGGAGTCAAAGCCTCTTAACTTTACATCTTTCTTTTTCCCATTGATCACTCATTTATACAGTAAACTCCAATCCTATTTTTTCAGAGTTTTACTGAATTATGTGTGAGTTCTTGGCTATATTAATCCTGCCTGAAAGAAGAGGTGGAAAATAAAGAAAAGCAAGATTGCAATCAGAAATATGATGCAAGTTTTTCTCTCAACCTACCAAAGCTCATACACAGCACAGGAACACAATGTAATTTTCTAATAGGAAAAACCACCAACATTTGTTTCCAACCCTAAGTCACAAACCTTGAGATTTGCCACTGGTCCCTCAATCTTGCAGTAGTTTTTCTGCAAGTAGCTCAAAACCTAGAGCCACTCTGGTTTTCATTTCTTGCAGCTTTGCATTCAGAAGACTTTTTTTTTCCTTAGAGGATGTGTACAAAAGTACATTGCACCTGAGCTCTTAGATCATTTCAAAGGGAATGGGCTCAATTTTATAGCTGTGCTGTGGGACCCTATTTCTCGTCTGCATGCATCACCTGCCCTGTCAGTCAGTCGAGTCACTCTTACTGGCATCTGCACCACTCCAAGAGCTCTGACTCAGCTCTTGTAAGGTCACTGAGGGCATCTGCTGCTTTTGTGGGGAAGCAGGGCCAACACATCATGATTAATAAACTTATGGCTGGCATGAAACAGTATGCCAAGTACTGATATGCCTTACCTCCCTGCTGCAATGGATTCCTGGCCCACGAAAGCAGCGATGAGTACTATGCTATGCACTACTCTGCTACTGCCACAGATCACCTTAGGCTTCAGAAAGCAATTTTCCTTTCTACTTTAATATCCTACTCTGGGTGAGGAAGTCCTGCGGACAGATAAAGTACCTGATTCAAAACCAAGCCAAAGCACTTAACCAATGAAAATGTATTTCACAGCAAAGTTACGTGCTCCCATAACACAGCACCCTTGTTCATGGTTGTACACAGTGTTTACCTGCCCAGCTTGTGAGAACCTGTCCTCCACCAGGCTGAATGTCAGACTTACTCCAGCACAACTGGTCACCTAACATGAGCAGCCCACAGGAATACAAGCCCTCGTCATATTCCAGGCATAAAGACTTATTATTGCAACCGGAGTTTGCAAATTACCCTGTTTGGTCCCTCAAAATGAACAGCCGTCTGCTTCAAACCAGAGATGATTGTCTATGTCACTCTTTTCATTCTTAAACAGGTGGCCTTTTCTTCTCTGAAAAAGGGGTTCCCGGTTCTCTGACACTTAATAAGGAGCAATTCTATTTTCCTCACATCAATTAGAGACACTAAAATGCAGCCCGAGGGATTACCAGCCTTATGCCTGGGCTGCCTCAGTAGCAGATGCCAGCAGCAGAGCGTGCCTGCTGCTTCAAAGGCAGATGAAGAGCTGTCACCGTTAACTTCCACAGCACAGACTACCTACAGGTTGAATTTTGTATGAATTTGTTCTGTCATTGGTCAGTGAGAACGCTGAAACATATTTCCTTCCTCTCTCCCATTTACGTGGCATTCAATTTCTTGAGTTCTATTACACTCCAGAACTTCTATAATCTGATGGTATGGTTTAGCAAGTTAATACTGCACTGTGTAAAAACGCGTAAAAAAAAAAAATTAAACCATGTTTTACCCATTTTGCCTTTAAGGGTCTACCTTAACTCCACAAATACTTCCAGCTGGTGTTAACACTACATATATTTTAGGTAACAAAGTTGTGGGATGCATTAAGAAACACAGTCATCAGCCCAAAATCCCATCCAGAAACTCCTTCAGAACCCTTGCTGCTCATTAAATCAACAGCATTAATTCCCATCTCTTTCTGCGAGGAGCACTCTGCTGTGGTATGCCTTCCAACTCTTACTGAAATGAGAGCTCTTATCTCCTTAAATGACTTCATGACGCACCCAACCCAGATCCCATTCCTAAAAATGGAGACTCTCAGCATCTCCACATAAGTGCCTCCTCCACCTCAGCCTCGCTCAGGAGTTGCACAGCTGAGGGCACCTCAGGGCACAGGAAAGAGCATTTCAGGTGACAGGCGAGCCTGCCTGCTCAGAGGCAGAATGGAAACCTCTGGGTGCCCAAAAGACTGTGGACATTTGCCACCCCTGCCAGCCTTACAGGAGGTTTGCTGCAGGGTTTGCAGCTGTTTTGCTGGAGGAAATGGGCTGCCCCAGGAGAGGGCCTGTGGATGGCAATGCTTCACCCAAGCTGGAGAGGTGCCTGTGTGAATCAGCTGCGGAAGATAGGCTCAGAGGACCCGAGAAATGGCAGCCTTGTGCCAGACCTACCACTGGCCAGCGCTCAGCGCAATCCAAACCATCGCAGGAGGCGCGTAATCCCAACACCCACTGGTGACGCAGGGTGGATTGCAGAAGCTCTTCTTCCACTTCTGGCTTCCAGTGCCTGCGCCTGTACTCTCTGAACTGAAACCAAAGGGAAACTGTCAGGGGAAAAAGTGTTTTTCTGTGACAGCAAGAGCATGGCAATGGTTAACTGAATCAATTTCCTGCTTACGATAATGCCTGGCCCGCATAGGAGATGAGGTACGCTTTCACTTCTGCCTGTTCACAGCTAAAAGCAATGGGAAGGCATCCTCTCTTTACGAACAATGTGATTTTTCAGGACACATGTGAACTGTAATGCTGTTTTAAAATATTAGAGTGGCAGGCCAGGCCCATGTTGCATAACGGTGCTCTTGTGGCAGACGCACAACACACACAGTACAGGGATTTTCATTGCAACTGCCCTGCAACAGTACACACAGAAAAAAACCCCAATGTATGGACATTGAAAATCTACACGTCAAAAAAAAAAAAAATTTCCATATATTGAATTACATAGAATTAATTCTGACCGTGCTTAGAAAAGTAGCAGGAATCACCAGAAGCTAAGTCCAAGTCCACTACAAAAGAGTGGGAGCTCAGTGGCAGTGTAGTACAAAATGCTCCCAGCTGCACCTTCCTCCCAATTTCAGCATCCCAGCCCTGCCTGCACCAACAGCAGCACACACAAAACACTTCTAGAGCAGCTCTTTATATAACAGTGTTGGAGACAGATGCTTTAACCTCACTGGAAATAATCCAAGAGGGAGAATTTTCCTTACAAAAAATAAACTTTCTTAAATGTGGGCTACCCTGTTTTAACTATCACCACATCAAACCGAGCCCAAATGTTTTCCATTAAAATGCTCCACATTTACTATATCTTACTGTTCAGAAACTGAGCAAGACACAAGCAGAACATGATGATAAGGAGAAAAATCAGTATGGGTATGACTTACTACAGTATCAAATTAATTCACATTTTTAAAGCCATGTTCAAATAGTTCCCTCCAGCAGCGCTGCTGCCTATCTATGCCATCTGCAGTCAGGTGTGCAACGCCAGTAACACACTGAACTACTGTAGACAAATTAACTTTTTTTAGCCATGGAAACATACTTCTGCACACACAGAAAACCATACCTATAGTGTGGTCAGTCTTTTTAAAGAGAATATGGTTTTCTTTTTTCTCTCACTTGAAGCCAAGCCCCCTAAAAGGTCAGCAGATTACCCCATGAACTATGAGTGCACCACTACAACAGGATGCAGCACCAAAACCTCCAGGACAGCAGACCTAAAGCACAGGCACTAAACACTACCACGTCTTTTAGACTGAGAAAGGCAAATGCGTGAGTTGTTATCACAGGTTTGGTCATCATGCATGGACAAGAAGACAGGATCCTGGGCCCAGCTGCCCAGCAAAGAGGGGCTGAGATCATGGCTTCTGCCAGGTTCCCTCTGTAAGGGGACAATAATGCTCAGCTACCCTCCAGGATTGGGGTATTGCTCAGTAAAAAACACTGTGATCTCTTCCTTAATTATCATGCTTCCATGAAATACATGTAACAGGGCATAGAAAAAAAGCTATACACCTATGTTCCTATAAACCTAGCTCTAGTTCAGCTCTATTGCTTTGCCTTAAGGCACCCAGTAGGGACAAGTCTTAGAAGATGCTCTGTCCCTCCCCCTGAAAATTATCTACCTTTTATGGTACATCAGAACTGGAACCCCATCTTAGTCACGCTGGGAAAAGTTTTGTCATATTTAGAGGTCTAAGATCAATTTGCTTCACTGGGAGCTGACAGGCAGAAATATGATTGAGAGGAACATACCTTGAATTAAATTGACCCTCTCCAAGCTGCCTTATAAACTAGGTAGATTAGCTGCCTCCAGTATTTTTGAATTAAAATAACAAAGTTATATGCTTTGCTACTAATACAAGGTCCTCCACAAAAACACTGTATTTTGGGAACAAGAAATATATACCTCAACTCTTAACATATGGAGCGGAACAGGTAACAGAATCTACTGAAGAATGACTAAAAATACCTATACACATTGAAATACATATTTAAGATGTAGCAGATTGTATGGAGCCCTGTGAAAATAGCAGATGATGACATCTGACATCACTGAGGGATTATTCTTGTCCCTTCCAACCCAGAAAGAGTTACAACATTTTGAATGCTGACAGCAAAATGCACTTGAAGAGTCTCCCTGGGACAAAGGACCCCAGCTACATCATCTGTGGCCCCCCAGCCCAGTGGCTGTGGAGGGAAAGGATCCCCTATTGCACCAACCACCGATACCCAGGGCTTGCTCATACTTCACTGGGCAGCAAGTCAGCTTCAGGAGCTGTTCTGCTGTTATTCCAGACACTTAAAAAATGCTGTGCAGTGACCACCTGGTGCACAGGAAAGAATATTTCTAACAGCAATAATTTCCTATTGGATATGTGCCTGAGGTCCCACAAGGGATGCTGCTGCAGAGGGCAGCAGAACAAATCTGTTTTCTTTTGTATATAGATGATATTATTCAATTCAAATTTGAGTATTACGTTATTGTCAAAGTACAGCAAAACCTTACTAAGCAAGCATCAGTTTGCTAATCTCCATAGGCAAATTTTCACTAAGTAGTGTAAAATAGTAGGGTTTCCTTTGCACAGAGTTACAGTCAGGCATTACAATAAATCCCCGTAAGACTAGACTTCATTGTTTTTTTAAGACATAGATTATAACACAGATAGCAATTAAAAAAAATTTTTAAAAAACCCCACTCTTACAACTAACAAAGTGTATCTAGTGCTGAAGTAGCTTTGATTTTACAGTCAGCTTGCTTATTTGCTACATCTACTCTTTTCCCTGGATGTCCAAATCATTAAATAATTAATTTCATATTATCAAGAAATCTCTCTATGCCTAATCAACACACTACTAAAGTAATATGCAAAACTTTTGCCTTAAAATAATCTCATTTATAGCTGGAAAGTAATTTTGTTCCCATCACTTCTGTAGCAATACCTGAACGTTTTACTACCCTCCCAAGCACAGAAATTTCAGTAAGAAGGCACTGTCACTCACCCCTATGACACACCGGCACCACTCTGCTGGGTCAGGGGGTGAACTCAGTTCCTGAGATCTTTCGGGGTCTGCAGTCTTCCCAGAAGACAGCTTTGCACCACTCACAGCCCCCTGTGCCACGGCTCACCCCTGAAGAGCCCTTCAGAGAAGAGAAATAATTCTAGCAACATCAGGCTCCTGTCGGCATTAAGCAGTACCTGAAAACTGTAGCTGGTCCTCAATGGAGAGAAAATGAGAGAGCATGCAAGAGAGAGAGTGCACCAGCGTAAGCTTTGTGGTTAAAATAACAGTACGAGCATTTTAAAACAGCAAGGGAGTGGAAATCCCCCAGCTTAGCTTTGAACAGATCATGTCTAAAAATGTTTTAAAAGCGTTAGGACAAAAGGCAAGCCATTGAAAAGTATTTTTCCTTTACTGCACTGATGTAGGGTCTGCAGATGGAGCAACACAAGGTTACCAAGAACTTTTCTCACAGTTTTTGTCCAAGATACAGAGGAGTTTTCATCTTTCACAAAAGTGGTGGTTGATGTGACCAAAGAAAAAGAAAATCATGGGCAGCAGGAGACACATATGGATGCAAGGACAAACCCAGGTCCACGCCTCTGAATCCCTCCACGGTAGCCCTGGAGAACCCAGGCGGACCCACTCGTTGCAGGAAACAAAGGGATGGCTCATGGGGGAAACAGCACCAGTCCAGTCACAGAGCAACTGCATCAACTCACACTACAAGCTGTGCAGGCATTTTGTACTTAAACCAAACTCCTCAACTGAGATAAAATCCATTTTAAGAAAATAAATGCTTACATTCAGGTTTGTAATAATCTAAATGGCCATAAACACTAATGATTTTGTAGCCCAAACTTAATTGCACACACAGGCTTCCTGACAGCCTTCATCTCCCCTGATTCTGTGCCAACCTCCTTCCCCAGACCAAAACGTGCTGCCCTCCCAGCAGTGCCATGGGTTCCATCTCTAGCCCCACTGTTTCCTTACTCTCCTCTGCCTCCTCCCCTGGCTTTCTAGTCTCTGGTTCTTTTTCCCTCCCCTAAAGTAAGGTATCTTATTTTCTAGAAAAGTGTTAATTTTTAAGTTTCCTGTTATTTAAAATACTAGTTTCTCAAAGAAAGCTTCTATTCTGTCTTGTAGTAAATGAAACACATACCCTCTTCAGCTTTTTCCCTTTAACTGAGCTTGCTCCCAGAGCATCTCTAACCTATTTCAATTTCCATCTCCCCTCCCAGGAGGCATCTCAACCTACTGCATGTTTTCCTGAACCTTCTCTGAAGCTCTGGAACAGACAAGTCATTGCTGAAGTCAGTGGCAAAGGAAAAGGTATCAATTCAAAGGCATGATGCTTCTTACAGGATCAATTAAATTGATCCAAGTTGTACTTCTAGATGCAGCCTAAGATCACTTCCATAGCCAAGCTTTCTAAACCAGAAGATACTCTTTCATCCTTGCCATGAACTCATGTCCTCAGGGTGCATCCTGGTCAAGCTGTTGACTACACACAACCTCTGCACAGACCGACATCAGAACAGCCAAACAGCTCATACATGGGCTTTCTTCGGACCTGGTGGCTCTGGAGAAATGATGGATCTGGTTGGTTTCATCAGGAGGAGGCAGTGCTTCAGAAAGTGTGGTGCTCTGCAAGCACAGCTCCAGGAAGCACCATCTGTTTCTGGGAAGGTTTGGGGAAAACCCCAAATGGAGAAGTTGAGTAGGAGCAGGATCTTAATTTTAAACAATTTCACTCTGCAGATGAGTAGAGAGTAATAGGCTGGTGTTATTGTTTGCGAGCAGCCCTCAATATTCTCCAGCGCCAACTGCAGCTCTGAAACCCTGACCAGGTTTCAAGCAGGCTCAAGGGGATGAAGGTGAATGAAAAGACAGACAGCAACAGCACTTAGAAAACAGAAAGAAGGAAAAGACAGACATGAAGAACAACATAAAGAAACAAAAGTTACTGAAAAGAGGTAACAATAAGGGACAGAGAGCGAGACAAGTATCAGGTTTTAATTTTTTTTCTTTTAGTGTATTGGAGCCAAAGTGAAGTCCTCACTTTTCTAACAGGCCATTACACATTTTGCAAAACTAGTTCTTTGGGGCTTTTAAATTTGTCTCCTTCCCTGTCTCAAGGGGTCATGCTATCCAGGACTTCAGTTGTTTTGACCATTCAGCTGTTTTGGCCATGAATACCTACTCAAGGCATAAGACAGTCTTGGCTTTAATTTTCCATGCCCCTGACCCTTTGACCTAAGTCTTAATGAAGAACTTAATCAGCATGCATATAGAAACCTACTAATCAACTCAATGGTTATTCATCCAAATGACTAGGATAAACTCATATTTTGTTAAGTCTGGTCACCCCCTTCATCTGATATGTTCCCTCATTCCAGGGGTAAACGACTACCCCTGCTGCAGCCTCAGGACTTCATGAATTCAGTGGATTCTGCTCTAACACACAGACATGTATTTGACAACATATGGACACGCTTTTACTAGTGACAGCTAATGTCAAAACCCAAATGCCATCGGGGATCCCATGAACTTGCTGTTGGGAAAGCAGTGACAGCAAAGACTGTCACCATTTTCTTTCCCTAAAAAAACAGGGGAAAGGAGATATTCTTAAGAAGTCCTTCCCATGAGATCGAACCAGACAGGCTGAAGATTTACAGAGGTACGAACTGTGCCCTTCGCTAAAGGCGATCTGCAGTTGAAGGCTGCACTGCCACCCATCCCTGCACGCTGCTGCAGCCAGGCAGAGGTGCAGCTGCACAGTGACCCCCACCACTGCCACAGGCCTGGATGGTGTCAGGAGCAAGGTACAGGGACCTGCCTGCAGGGGGGAAAGGCAGAGACACCCCTTTTGGCATCAGGTGAGATGCCTTAAGGAGGACGCTAAACACGCCTTGGGCAGCATCCAAACCTGCTCTCGCTGTAGGCACCAGTTTTAGCTTTATTGGTCCCAGCAGTGAACAATGTTGCTGGTTTTAGTAACCTCTAGGTACATTTCAGACATGACCAAGGACCATGTTCATAACTTCTCAGTAAAAAATTGCCATGACACAAGGTTTAATGTTGATGACAGCAATACAGACAAAGGGACAAGTTTTTTTCTTTATAGATAGTGCCCAGTCGCTTCCCGTATCTTTTCTAGATTACGTGATCTGGCAACTCTTTGTACCTGCTGTCTCTATGGCAATGAAACCCTTGATTTTTGTTTCTTCACAGTTAGTAAGGGCCACATTCCAATTTCAAGCACATGGATATAGCAGACAAAACTGAAAACCAAGATGAAACTTAGCACATGCCTGATCATTGTGTGTCTCACAGCGACGACTGCAGGAAAAACTGCTTTGTACATTGTTCCTCTCCTTGAGGTTTGGTTAGTCAATAGCTGTTTTTGTGTAATAATAACAATAAAAAATAACTTTTACTGAGACAAAAGAGCACTCTGGGTAGTCCCATATCAAAACCACTGCAGTTTAGGGTGCAGTTTCTCACACACTTGTTCATCTGTTGCAGGACCAAGCTGGGGAGACTATGGAAATTTTTGCAACATTTTCATTAACACTATGCATGACTCAAGTTTCCTCACCTTCCTGAGCCCAGGGTAGAGGTTAGCTTCTTCCCAAACTGGCACAGATAAGTGACTGATGACTAACAGTGTGAATATTAACTCTTCATTATCCAATAAACTTGGACAGAAAAGGACCAGAAAACAAAAGAAAAGGGTCTGAAATCTTCACCACAACTCAGGGCCCAGACCCATGGGCATGCTGCATCAACACCCTTGGGTGTGCTGTTGCTGAAAACAACATGTCTGTGAGATGAAAGAAACTACCTGTACCACGGCAGCCACCACCAACTGTATTAAGATCAGGAGCCTGAGAAAAGTTACAACTCATACAGACTCCCTGGAGGGCCTCTCCATAGTCAGCTATTTATTGATGATAAGTAACATCTATTTATGTAAAATCAGAGGGTCAGACAAAAAAATTGAAGACAGAGGGCTACAGATTAGCTTAAAGACAGGACACAAATAAAGCCCAGGAGATCAAGCACCCTACCTCTGCCCACCAAAGGGTTTGGGCAAAGTGACCCAAACAATACCCAGCACAGAACAAAGAGCTCCTGACGTGGCCTGTAGCTTTGACAGCAGCATAAAAACTATGCTCCTGTTTTATGGAGACTGATTAGGGTGTCTGTGGGGTGAAATAAAGAGCTGTCTGGTTTCTGCTCTAGGCACTCATTTGAAATTCCTTTTGTCAAAGCCTCCAACAGCAGCTTTCTAGCTTTAAAATCTTGTCCCCTCCTGGATGTCATTCCTCATCCTCTCTAAATCCCGCAATTACTCCCATGCCCTTTGTAGTTTCTGTGTGCACCCCAAGCTTTTCTTTCTTCCTTCCTGATGTTACCCTGAATCTAATCTTTCAGCACTTCTTCAGGCAAAGTTTCCGGCCAACTACTCACAGATGTGCCCTATTGCCGCAGACCATCTTCCTGCTTAGGTGGAACTCCTGGTATGCAGGCAATGGATGACTACCAGCTTGGAGGTAGCCCACTGCTGCCAGCCTTCCCCAACAGGCCTTCGTCTGCACAGCTCCTCAGTGTCCAAACTTGACACAGACAGCCCATATTCCACTTAGGTCCATAACCTTCATCTCTCTCTTGGGCTTGAAGTGTTAGATCTTCACAATGTCTCACCAACTTCTCCTGCTTCATCTCTCCAGTATTTCTTGTCCACTTAAACAAATAGAACTCTTGTCCATCATCACCATCTTCTGTTTTTCCAAACATTCATTTCTCTTCAAATGGAATCTTTTACTTATTTATCCACCCAGAGTGCTGTCACAGGGATCATTTTTCTAAGCCACAGCTATAACTACATCACCTCTCTGTCCATCCCTCCACTTCCCCACTGCACCAAAATCTTTTGACCTTCAAAGCCTGTTCTAGTCTCCCTCCACTTGCCCCTGCATCCCCTCCAACGATTTACAAGGGCTGGTTTTATCTCTGGCCAAATGATGATACCAGACTCCACTGCCTCCTTGTTATGTATTTGAGCAAGCGCATACTGGGAGGGCACATTTTTTGGAGGGATATTAGCAGGCTATTCCACTTCAAATCTCTTCTGTAAAACCTCCTTTGCCTAGCAGCTGGGAACACCTATTTCTGACCAACACACTGTTCCAGAGGGTAGCACTGTCTCCTATCACTCTTGCATGCAGGTGCATCCCTCTCTCACAACTTCAACTATAAACTCCCTTCAGCCAAGGGCTATGGCTTTGCCCTCTGGTCACACGCCTCCCAGCAGACCAGGATCCTCACCCATGGCAAACGCTTCTCCACATGACAGAAATAAAAAAGCTAATCGAGGCTAACAGCAAAGGAAGTTAATCTGGTGGTTTTAGGCTGAGCATAACACATGACTACCACTCCTCGCATTAAGATCAAAAGCAACAATGCAAGGCAGTCCTCGGACAAAACAAGAGGAAGCACAATATTAGCCAGGCCAGTACTCCTGCACGAGAGCATCCCAGAGCATCTCAATTTTACGTTTATTATTAAACTTGCATGCTCTGTGTAGAATCAGCTGGAGTGGTTTAAAAATACGACCGTGTTGCTGCTGCCAGTCTGGAGACATGCCTGACCTGAATACACCCAGCTATTTTTAGCGCATTGTTGCACTCCTTTCAGCCATCCCGTATTTATGAAACGGAAGTTATGAGGAAAGTTGTTCTTGGCGGGCACCGGGAAGGCGCAGCCAAGCTAACAATAAGCAAAGCAATTCAAGATCTCCATTTTTCCTTCTAAATCTTAAGTGCTGAAAATATTTGGTGAAAGCCGACTGCCTCTGGATGCTCCCAGAGCGCTGTTAACCAGGGAAAACCAGAGCACCGGCTGGTTGTCCCCGCACATGCACCGAGGGGAAATTCCCTCCCACAGCAGAATTCAACCGACACCGGCGGGGGGGCACTTGTCACAGCTCCCCGCAGTACAGCAAGACCCGGGCCGCCGCAGAGGCGGACATCCGAGCAGCCCCTGCTGCTTTGTCCCCTCCTCAGCCTCGGGAATCCCAGCCCTGCCCGGTGGGTGCGGGGGCTGGTGGCGAGGCGCGGTGC